CCCTCCGACTTTCCCTCACCCCCTCACCCCGACCCTCTCTGACACCTGACCTCCTCCGACTTTCCCTCACCCTCTCACCCCCTGACCCTCTCTGACCCCCTGACCCCTGTAACCCCCGCCGTGCAGTACGGGGGGCGCAGTACCCGCAGGCGCTGTCCCTGGCGGAGAAGTACTGCGACTACCGCGTCCTGGTGGAGGTGTGCGACGCCATGGAGGACACCCAGCGCCTCCATGGGTACATGGAGCACTTCAGCGACCAGGTCACTAGTGCTGCTAGTTACTAGTACTATCTGGGCACTAGTTACTGGTACTGTCTGGGCACTAGTTACTGGCACTGTCTGGGCACTAATTACTGGCGCTGTCTGGGCACTAATTACTGGTAGTGTTTGTGCACTAGTTACTGGCACTGTCTGGGCACTAGTTACTGGTACTGCCTGGGCACTAGTTACTGACACTGTCTGGGCACTTGTTTTCCACTAGCGCTAAAGTAAAGGTACTTAATTTATTTAATTAAGATAAACAGGGAGCTATATAAGAAAGTACGTAATTCAGATGTTGATTAACAAAACCTAAGTTCTATTCCTTTCGAGATTTTTTGCCGATGTGTGGGTCATCCTGACACAGTTTAGGCTGGTAAATGAGCGTATCAGCGTTCCGTGCAGTGGGTACGAAAGCATATCAATATTTGGACAAAATCTCGCATTAATTTGTATGAGTGCGGGCAGGGCTTCTCGGACTTCGTGTTCCGTTGGTTCCTGGAGACCGGCAAGCGGGGGCGCCTGCTGAGCTATGGGCGGGGGGGCAGCGGCCCCGAGGGCGGCGAGTGGGCGGCACAACTTGCCACCTTCCTTAAAGGTCTCTTCCTTTTATTTTGTTTTTTATTTTCTATATTTTATATCATCGTGACAGGAAGTTTCATGTGCTATAATACTTGAATTAAACCTTACTGTACCAAGTCGATAAGCTTTACCGGATCAATAACACGGTAAAGTTTATTGAAGTGTTACCGTCTCGCGTTTTATTATGTTATATTTTATTTCGTCTTCACAAGAAGTTTCATGCAATGACACTTGAATGATTAAAAATTAAATTAAAATTAAATTAGAATACTGAAGTGTTGGCGTGTTTGGTGCAGGCTACGCGGGCCTGGAGTGGCTGCACCAGCTCGGGTCCCGGGACTTCGCCGCGGCCCACGAGTCCCTGAAGCAGCAGGCCCTCGCTGAGACCGCCTACCTCGCCAGGAAGAAGGTTATGAGTCTTGTTATAACCTCGTGGCCTGGGCCTCACGGTTCAGTTATAACCTCGTGGCCTGGGCCTCACGGTTCAGTTATAACCTCGTGGCCTGGGCCTCACGGTTCCTCAGCACGTGCCGCGATTAGCGTCTTGTATTAAAAAAATTAATGAATGAAAAGAAAAATGACGGCCATCAAGATAACTTGTTACTTAGTTTAACTCATCTTTAACTCATCTCATGATAACTTATTAGTTGGTTTATCATATCATAAGCTAACTTGTTACTCAGTTTATCTTATCTTATGATAACTTGTGTCTTGTTAGTTAGTTTATCTTATCTTATGATAATTTATTTATTCGTTTATCTTATTGTTAGTTCATCTTATCTTATGATAACTTGTTACAAGTTGTTAGTCAGTTTATCTTATCTTATGATAATTTATTTGTTAGTGTAACTTATTGTTAGAGTATCTTATGTTATCTCACTGGTGCGTACAGACGCTGGTGAGCCTGAGCAAGCTGTGCGGTATGGTGGCGAGCGCTAAGGACGCGCAGGAGGACGAGGACGACGAGGACGTGACGCAGCCCTGCACTGACCAGGACCTGCCCACACCTGACCACGCACGGCACACCAGGGATGACGTGTGAGATCCTATAGCTGTATCCTATCTCCTATGACCGTATCCTTCCTGTCCTGCGCATCCTGTTGTATGGCCGTATCCTATGGTCGTATCCTGCCTTTTCTGCGTATCCTGTCCTATGGCCGTATTCTTCATGTCCTGCGCATCCTGTCCTATGGCCGTATCCTAGATCCTATGGCTGTATTCTTCATGTCCTGTGTATCCTGTTGTATGAGTGCACTGGAATTAGGAGCGCCAGCTATACGAATTTTATGATCTTGGCTTTGATCTTTTCAGTGAATGCTTACCTTGTTTACATGTTGCCATATATTATATATTTATACGTATTTATAAGTTATTATATAGGTATTAATTTATTTTATTTATATGTATCATTTATTCATATTATATATTACTTTATTATTTATTTATATTAAATATCAATGTATCCTATATTTATATTTCAAAATAGCAAAGTCTTGCGTAAATTTGTCAGAGGGGAAGACGAGCCTGACCTCCTGAGGGCGGAGGAGGAACTCATCCTCTACCAGGAGCAGCTCCCCCAGCAGGTGCTGGCTGCCCACAACCTCTCCCCCGACACCATGAGAGTCCTCTCCCCCGCACACATGATTGAGGTCAGCCTCACCCCCACACACATGATTGAGGTCAGTCTCACCCCCCCACACATGATTGAGGTCAGTCTCACCCCCGCACACATGATTGAGGTCAGTCTCACCCCCGCACACATGATTGAGGTCAGTCTCACCCCCGTACACATGATTGAGGTCAGTCTCACCCCCGCACACATGATTGAGGTCAGTCTCAACTCTCACCCCCGTACACATGATTGAGGTCAGTCTCAACTCTCACCCCCGCACACATGATTGAGGTCAGTCTCACCCCCACACACATGATTGAGGTCAGCAAATGTAGGATTCACCACGTCATCATTGAAGGCAACATGGCAATTATATATATAAACGTTTTCTAGATCCTCAGTGTAGATGCTTATACACGGGGCGAATAGTCGAGTCGATTAGTCGACCCCATAAATATTTTGTGATAATTAATGTCTTCAGAGGCGACTAGCTGGTACATTGCACCCAAAATATGCAGCCCCACTCGTGTTCCCGGTGTTAACCATGCAGCAGTATTTGTGTTACTGGTTAACTGTTACCCATGCAGCAGTATTTGTGTTACTGGTTAACTGTTACCCATGCAGCAGTACTAGTGTCACCAGTTACCTGTTACCGTGCAGCAGTACTAGTGTCACCAGTTACCAGTTACCCGTGCAGCAGTACTAGTGTCACCAGTTACCAGTTACCCGTGCAGCAGTACTAGTGTCACCAGTTACCAGTTACCCGTGCAGCAGTACTAGTGTCACCAGTTACCAGTTACCCGTGCAGCAGTACTAGTGTCACCAGTTACCAGTTACCCGTGCAGCAGTACTAGTGTCACCAGTTACCAGTTACCCCTGCAGCAGTACTAGTGTCACCAGTTACCAGTTACCGTGCAGCTGTACACAAGTGAGGACAACGTGTGCGCCACGGAGCTGGACTTCAAGAAGGCCCTGGAGTTGCTGTCTTTTGTGCCGCGCCTGGAGGAGTGCGAGGCCCTCAAGCTGAGCATCTGGGTGAGGGCGGCCCTGAGGGACTCGTGGCACTCCCTCAGCACTGACGCCCCTCTGGACGCCATCAGCGGCACTCTGCTCTTCAGGACTGTGGAACTTGCCTACTCGCAGGGTGAGAGGGGCTAGAAGAGTGGCTACTTGAGTGGGCAGTAGGAGGGCTGGTGCAGTGGTTAGTAGGCCTGTAGAGTGGCCACTAGAGTGGTCAATAGGATTATAGGAGGGCTAGTGGAGTGGTTAGTAAGCGTGTAGAGTGGCCACTAGAGTGGTCAGTGAGAGTGACCACTCTCATTAGTGGAGTGGTTAGTAGGTCTGTGGGGAGTGGCCACTAGAGTAGTGAGTAGAGTGTAACCCTCTCATTTTCTTTCTTAAATTGAGTATATTTTATATTTTTCGTACCATCAATTTTGTAAAAATTATTTCGAATAGTAATATTGTACTCAACATTTTTCCTTCGTGTGAATTGTTTCATTATTTGATGGAATAAACAAATTTGATAATTATGAGGTAACTAGAATATGGTGGCCTGGTAACTACTGTAATGTCAACTTGCCGCAGTAACAACTAGACAGTAACAATGGCCTGGTAACTAGTAGCTAAGTAATGTCTAGTAACAAGTGACTTGGTGCAGGCTGCGACCTGCGTGACCTGCTGGTGCCTGTAGAGGACCTGCTGGCGGCGGAGGACCTGCAGCCGCTGGCGCGCGACGCGGGCTTCTGCTTCCTCGTACGGGCGGGCTATGAGAAGCTGACACTGCTGACGGCGTGAACTGTGAACTGCTGACGGCGTGAACTGTGAACTGCTGACGGCGTGAACTGTGAACTGCTGACGACGTGAACTGTGAACTGCTGACGCCGTGAACTGTGAACTGCTGACGCCGTGAACTGTGAACTGCTGACGCCGTGAACTGTGAACTGCTGACGACGTGAACTGTGAACTACATTTTACTTCAGGTGTTCACAACTGTGATTAAATATTTGTGTTGCATCTTAATAATAAAAGAAAGATGAATTGAATTTCATTGACTATCTTTATTCCATTTTTGCCTTGCGATTTTTGAAAGAAAATGCGAATATCGAGACTAAAAAAATACAAGTAAAGACCTGTCGTAATAAACTAAATTTAAATAAGAAGTTTTAATAAACAATTATTTCACTGGTGGGAGCTTAGTGACTATATTCAGTTTGTTATATTAATTCCTACAGTCTACACTCAAATTAGTTAGCGTGGAAAAGACCTAAAGAAGACTGGGCACTTTACGACCACGGCTGGTTCGACACCCAAGCTCCTACTAAACAGTAATGCCACACAAATAATTAAATTATAAAACATTTGAATTATAAAATAATCAAATTATCGTATAAATAAATTGTCAAAAAATCAAATTATCAAATAATTATATTTAAAAATGGAAAGCAGCAAAGAGCTTGCAATCACGTGTAGGCGATGGCACGCCATAAGCACATAATCAGCAGCAGCCGTGAAGAACATCGTTATAGCTTAGACCGAACAACATAATCTTTGATATACGCAACGAATTATTTATTCTTCATGTTGCTTTGAATCTAGGACTTATTCATGGAGGATTTGCATTCATTTGCATGAAAGAATTGATGCAGTGACAAGCACTGCATGCTATGCTATGACCAGAGGTGGGCAGTAGCGCGCTACATGTAGCGGCCGCTACATTTTCAGTAGCGGTAGCGGCTCTACATTTAAGGCAATGTAGCGGTAGCGGTAGCGCCCGCTACATATTTAAGTAGCGATACGAGGTTTTGAAGCTACAGCGCTACCGCTACATTTATAGCTAAAGCCTTTAGATTTTACTTAAGGGGACCGGCTACCCTATAACAATACTTTTTTGTTTACAGACGGATCGTTTTGAAACTTGGTACACATATGTAAAACAGAAATCTAAGACCTTTTTGTTCATGTAAATTTAAAAAAATGAAAGAAAACGTGGAATTAATAGAAAACGGCAAATAAGGGGCACTCTGAAAATGTTTATAACTTTTGCAAATCACATGCTACAATGTCGAGACACATATCATTCGATTTGTAACAACAATATCTAGCTACTGTAGAGCCCCTGCGTGCAGTGACAGGCACTGCATGGCGTGCAGTGACAGGCACTGCCTGGCGTGCAGTGACAGGCACTGCATGGCGTGCAGTGACAGGCACTGCATATGGCGTGCAGTGACAGGCACGGCATGCGCCTATCAATAGTTGCAGCTTTGGTATAATAAATTATTTTATACAAATCTTTACATCATCAATATAGGCAATAACTTAATATATATTTCTTGAATAATAAATATACACAACATGTCTGATAGTTAGTGTGGCATGCTAATCTGTTTAATTAATATCAAAATAACGTACGTTTTGAAGAATAATTTCTTAGCGTCAACGTGCGCCATTTAGTCCGTCCTTTCACTATGAAGAAATAATAATGAATAAAATACTGATGAAAAACGGCTATAATTAGACTAGAAATGACATTTCAAACTCTTATCAAATCAGCACACTGAATTTAATGTGCAAAACGCTCATCATAATTCAAATTTTATTCGTCCTGCCGCCATATAAGGGCAGCAGGATGACAGGCGTCCTTATTGTTCGCTCCTGAAGTCCTTTGAAAGTTGAGAGCAAATCCTGCACGTGGCCGACGCGACGCGCGTCATGAATGACAATACATGAATAAATTCAGAGCTTTGTATGAGTTGCAGGGGCGCGTCATGAATGACAATATGTGAATAAATTCAGAGCTTTGTATGAGTTGCGGGGGCGCTTGCATCACTGCATTGTGTGTACATATGGAGGCCATGAGGCTGGACATGAGGAGACATGAGGCTGGACATGAGGAGGCATGAGGCTGGACATGAGGAGACATGAGGCTGGACATGAGGAGACATGAGGCTGGACATGAGGAGACATGAGGCTGGACATGAGGAGACATGAGGCAGGACATGAGGAGACATGAGGCTGGACATGAGGAGACATGAGGCTGGACATGCGGAGACATGAGGCTGGACATGGGGAGACATGAGGCTGGACATGGGGAGACATGGGGCTGGACATGGGGAGACATGGGGCTGGAAATCAGGACTCGAGCTCAAAACCATTACAAATTCTGATTTTAGATTATCTTCTAAAAATGAAGGAAAGACGAACATAATTTTCATTTTATCCTAAAACGAAGACCAATAATCGCTGAACTTCAACAGATATTTGCAAAAATCCATTATTAGTAATATTCTTTTTCATGCTTACGCATCGTCTAGAACGATTGTTAGTATATTTAGTAGAATTAAAAATATTTTGGATGAAAAAGTAGCAATTAGTAAAGAGGGTTGTCGGAGTATAAATTTTATTATTTAAACTCATCAGATTTTTATTAGTTCCACGGTTAGTGTTTAGGATGGTACTGATTATTTAGTGGCTTTAAGTTAACGAATTAGTCTTTAGGTTTAGCGAGATAAGTTATCTAATTTTAATGTATATATGTAAAGTACACACCGAGGGTATATACATGTATACCACTGTGTAAGATAGCCAAGCTTCGGAAGTATAAATGTTATCAGATAACGTAAATTAATTGAAATGAGCTATGTAGAATTATATCAACAATTACACCTATGACTTGTAACAATGTATACGCTCAAATAGATGAATGGGTTATATATTGTCCTAAGAGTGAAAAAATTTCTTACTCACATCCATAAATATATAGTAAAGAGCGGGCGCGGGCGCGGGCTAAACTGAGTCAAAATGACACACTCAAACAGAGCAAAAGTGCATAGTCATTTGGACAAAGTCTCAATGATTTCTATGAGTGTATGCAATCTTCATACAGAATTCTATTCTTGGAAGGAATTATTCGTTAAAAAAGCTTCATTTTTTAATATCCTCGAAGCGTATAGGCTTTATATTATTGGCCGCAGGCTCAACATTTCACGAAGAAGTAATTTTATTCTATAAAGAAATAATGATATAATAATGAAATAATAATTAATGATAATGAATAATGAGCCCCTTAATTCATACCGAGAAGTTGTCAGCACTAAGCTTTTATAAAATATCTAATTCGTAAAAGTTTAATTGCACGAGTCGAAGACCTGAGCACTAAAATAGAATAATAAATTAAATAATAGAATTGGAATAAATAAAGAAATAATAATGTAAATTAGAAATAAATCGAAAATAAAATAATAGCATAAATCAGAATTGAATGATATAACATAAATGAAAATTGAAAAACAATTGAATTTATAACATGAATGAAAATTGAAAAACGTGTCTGCTGCAACCAAGAAATGACCAAGAAGATTTGATTAGAATACTCTGAATAAAAAGACTAGAATACTCAGAATTAATAGATTAGAGTATTCTGAAAAAAAAAATTAGAATATTCTGAATAAAAAGACTAGAATACTCAGAATAGAATTAACACGACAACCGAATAGAAGAATTTCTAAAGATGGCGACGAAGGCAAAAAAGAGACCGGGCAGCTGTGTAGACCGGCTATACAAGTCCCCCCGTTTCAGTTCGCACGCTTTTCTTCCCATTGAAGTTATTCACTGAGCACATCTTTGTTCCCAGTCCGTTTTTACAGCCGGATTTCTTCAGAAATTAGTTTCCTTCATAATGTCTGAGTTTGCGCTCTTGCAATGACCGCGCCTATAGCTTGCATCAGGCGTCCAACGATGAAATTAAATTAGAAATTTAAAGGATCCACAAAGAAACTAGAAAAAAGCTAAAAACTCCACAAAGAAACTAAAAAAACTAAAAAAACCATGCACAAAGAAACTAAAAAATATATAACTCAGTACTCACTGCAGTGAGTGACAGAGAGCGTATTTTCTCGTCGACGAAAACGTGAAGTCACGGACGGACAGACAGACGGACATGGCGAGCACAATAGTGCATTTTTTTCATCAATGAGAAAATGCGTTAAAAACTAAAAGCTCCACCAAGAAAAAGAAAACTCCACAAAAATTCAGCATAACTCTATAGAAAACGTTTCGGAGACCAGCTCCATTCATCGTCAGTTCGATCAAGAACACAAATACAATCAGAAAATTAATAAAGTTTGGATCAAATGAAAAATACAGAAGTTAAAAACCTTAATTTACAGGCAAAGGGCAGAGTAGTAAAGTAAATAAAATAAATTTATTAAACATCGTTTATACAAAGAAAACCTCCTTTGTTTTTCTTTAACGTCCTTTGCATAAGAACCAATTATAAGCAAACCAATCCCTACGCACAGGAATCCTACCCTGGAAATACCTTGAAATAAAGTTGATTACTTTCGGGTCGATATTGTTGAAGCAACATGCTGCTAATCAACTTTATTTCAACTTTTGATGTCCGGTGGGACAGAACATCAAACCCTGGCACGGACGCTGTAAATATCGACAACTGGCGGGACAAAAACTGTGACGCAATTCCCGCCACTGGCGTTATTCCCGCCACTTGCGCACAATGGCACAATTCCCGCCACTGGCGCACAATGGCACAATTCCCGCCACTGGCGCACAATGGCGCCATTCCCGCCACTGGCGTTATTCCCGCCACTGGCGCACAATGGCGCCATTCCCGCCACTGGCGCACAATGGCGCAATTCCCGCCACTGGCGCACAATGGCGCAATTCCCGCCACTGGCGCACAATGACGCAATTCCCGCCAATTCCAAACACCCCTCCCTCCCAACACACTGTAGCCCCCCAAACCCTAACCCCCTCTTCCCTCACCCCCACTATTGTGCCCCCCGGTGCCCACAATAAGAGGGTGGGCATCAGAGCCTCTTGTTGGGCAAACAAGATGGGCAGCTGCACGACGAGGTACATTCACTGAGTGAATGAACTGAACCCTGCGCTGAAGTGTTCTACTGAACCCTGCTCTGAAGTACTTTACTGAACCCTGCACTGAAGTGCTCTACTGAACCCTGCACTGAAGTGCTCTACTGAACCCTGCACTGAAGTGCTCTACTGAACCCTCCACTGAAGTGCTCTA